TGCTGAACAGAAACTGCTTCCAGCATCTTCATTTTGACTCACCACTAGGGCTGGGCCATATCATACCGTTCACGGTAATACCGGTATAATGTTGGGCAATGATAAGAAAATGAAATATCGTGATAGAATATGGGTAAAACGCGCATGCACAGTGCCTTTGTTTTCATACGCACATGGCGGAAAAAGCATGGCGGTGACGGAGAATGAGAAGGGCGAAAGCGGATCGTTGAATGAAACAGATGAACCAGAATTGGTTTGTAAAAATGCTGCAACTTCAGTGGTGTGGAACTGGTTTAGCTTTCGTCCGTCACATACACATCAAAGCACTATTTTTGGTAGACCATGCTAGTCATTATTACAGTGTTTTTTCGGAAACTACGGCACACTTAAAATCAATCCTTTGATTTTTCTGAAAATCGACGACACGTCGCTCGAAAATCTGTCAAATGTTTTAGTACGACGATGCTAAGCTACGAACCCGCACCGCTTGATGGATTGTCGGAGCATTGCGGCTATCGTAGGCAGGAGCCTCGCGGAGTGATACGTACTGCGCTTCAACATAATATTACCATATTGTGTGTGTATAACCTCTTTTTAAGTTTTGTGGATATTATACATGGTTATGCTGAGGATATGTCCGCCAATTTCCACTGTCAGCAAGGAATTTGCATTTGCACGGTTAAATTTTTATATAACTTTACTGCACATAAAAAAACAGTTGCTTGTTTAAGTGAAAATACATTGATGAGGTTTTTTTGCACTAATAAAGTTGTGGAGTTGTAAAGTATTTTGTCTAGTGTCAGTTATATCGTTATCACAAATTTTCAAATGTATATCGTGATAAATATTTTTGGTCATATCGCCGTGCTCTACTCACCACTACTGTCTCACGTTTCAAAGCGCACTTGATGAATGGCAACAATTACCAATGCAGATCATCTTTAGTTGCAGTGCAGTTCAATCATTTTAATTGTGATATTAAAGTGCGACAATTTGTTGTTGCACAGACTGAGACAAAAAACTAACAAAAAGCCTTAATGCAACCTTGCAGTGAAATGCAATCCAAGATATATTTAATTGATATTAGTTGAACTACCAATTGACGTACTGCTAATGCACAGTGTTGTGGTATGCATGGCCCCAAACACAACTGTCTAAATAACAGAAGAAGTGGGGGGTTAAATGGGAATTTATTAGGCGAGTGTGGTCACCTGGTATAAGAAAAAAAGCCCCTCTTCCTCTCTCACCTCCACCCTCCCTCAGAAGGTTTCATCAACTTTGTGGACAAAAGCCCCTACAGATGGCTGTAATATGAGATCCAGGACAGACACAGCAGCACTGTGCCACATCACCACTGCTGAGTCTCAGACAGAGCAGGCCTTGTCGTTAGCCGTGCTCAACCTACTCACCTTTGTGGTCTGCTTCTCTCTCATGATAATTCTCGACAGCAGCACAACCCATATCGGCATTGTAGCTTTGACTGTAAAAGACATGACAAGGAACGACGTCAGTTTCTTTTTTCTTGAACAAACATGAACTATTAACAGGCAGCAAGTAGGCACGGTACGTCAGAGCTAGGCCCACACCTCTGTCAAACATCCAACCTGTCACAAACCTTGGGTTTGCACACCTCCCTCGACTGCACTTGTTTCATTTAAACACAGACTAAAGCGCAACTCAGTTTATCATTATGTTTTTTTTTCTTCTGAAGAACAATGCCAGAGTAGGCGCTCAGTACTGGCGTCACACAAAGTAGATATAATGATCATTGTGTAGGTTCACAAGGTTAGAAGCTCATTCCTAAAGTAAAAACACTGATGCAACTGCTGTGGCTCCAAAACTCAGGTCAGAGGCGACAAAGATATTTTACAGTGACATTTTATTTACAGACTTGCTCTAAATCAATTGTTATTAAGTATCTGCTAGACTTAATACAGAAATAAGTAAATAAAATTGAGACTTTTAGAGTTGTTTCAAGTTGGAACATGTAGCTACATTACAGTGCCGTGGAGTTTGAAGGCGCAATTAATGAGAAATTCAACATGTGTTGCTAACTTGCAGAATCTGCAGGTAATAAGAGAGAGAGTGGAGAAATCAGAGCTGATGAAATTCATCTGCCACAAGTCCCAGGAGTCAGTGGAAACTAAATTAACGGAATAATCTTTAAATGACACAATAGATGCAAAAGGTGAAAGTAGTTCAAATAAGGTGCAGTTGATACATACCATGGGAAATATTTGAATTGAACTTGAGGAGGGTTTAATATGTGTATTTCCATCTTTCACAGGATAAGAGGCACATGCTTCCTGCTTTTTTTCTTAAAAATGCAGATCAACTATATAGTTCTTTTGGGGGCTGTAATTTGCAGTCCTATTAAATGAGAAGGTTCACCTTTTATTTGCAAAAAAAGAAAAAGAAATAGGGTGGGGAAAAAAGACAAAAGTTCCATACAGGGTTTTTAAATTTACAACATTTGTTTGATAGCTGTCTGTAAAGATTAGCCTTGTGATTCAGATTAGTATTAATACTTTAATTTATGCATCTTGCACTATATTTTTCTTACATGTGCATTTACTTTAGTTTTGCATGTAGAGTATATTGTGGTTTTATACAGTTAGTTGCTGTAAATCCATTGTGCTTGTATAATGTGGTTGTAAAAGTCCAACCAGAAACAAGGTTGAGTTAGCAACAGATAATAACTGTTTTTCATGCTTTGTACTGGAAGTGCCAAATGGCTCTGTCCCTTAAGACAGGGACTAAGAAAACATTCAGATTAGTGACATGATAGTATTATTATGATACATTTTTATAGATTAAGCAGCCTGGTGTACATTTCCTGGGTGCAACATAATCACAGCCGGATCTTAATATTTCCTTTACGTTACCAACAGTATTCCTACACTATTATATAGTGGCTTTCGCTTCTTTCAGCTCAATAACAATGTTTAATGGACCCTCCCCCTTAGCTATGAAGCTAGCAAACAGCAGCTCATTAGTAATTCTTTGGAGAGTCTAAAGCTAATTAGTTTATATTAAGAGGACACGAAGCGAGATTAATTAGCCTCATTAAAACAAGACCTACAGTACACAGATTCTACGTGGGGCCCACAGCCTGGTTAAATGCCGTGCCACCCTGCGTTAGCCGCGATGCTAACATCGGCTGACAGGACGGACACATCATCAAGTTACCCCGGCTGACAGGCTTCAGGTGGCGGCGCATTAAAACGAACACAAAGCCGCTGTACTCACCGGTATGCGCGTACGACACGGGCACTTTCCATATGCTGAAGTGAGCCGACACGGAGGCAAAGTATTTTCCGAAAGCTAAAGGCAGGATGTACCACCAGTAGTACCTGCTCGGCAGTTCTGTTTTGGGGACTCCCCAAGCCCGCAACAGCGGGGGGAGGAAGACGACGATAGAGATGATATGAAAGAGAGAGACCGTGACCGGGTACGGGAATCCATTGAGGATGATTTTGTTGACAACATTTCCCCCCGAGCTGACCGTGTACCAGCACACACACAGCGAAACTATCCGGATCCCTTCCCTGACCGGGGTCCGCTGCACCGCAGCCATCTTCCAGCGCGGAGTGACGAGTCACCGGTGGTGTGGATGCACCGGAGAAGCTCATCCGTCACACTCACAGCCGCGAACGCTTCCGGGCGTACCCTTCAAAATAAAAGACAACAGTGTCCGTCGAAAGATGTTCACCGTGGGCGGAAGTGTACAGCTCACATCTGTAAATACGCGTTAAAACCAAGGTTTTTATAGTAAGTTTTATACTATAGTTTTAACTTTAGTATTATTTAAATTAATTTAGTGTTACTTTGGTTTAAAAAATCTTTCTTACTACTTGCTTGATTGATTGTCGTGTTTATTGAGATTCTGGATGAGACTGTGAGTTAAGTGCTTTCAAAAAGTTCAATGTTTTTATTGCAATACCTGGATTGATTTTTCTAAACCTTGCCTCTGACATATGGTCTCGATACATAAAAATTAAAAAGACTGAACATTTTCAAACAATAAAAACTAAACTGAAACAAATGTAACTCTGGAAACAAACTGAATTAAAACCAAGAAGTCAAAATGAAATAAAAATAAAAGCTAATTTAAAAAATACAAAACTACGATAACTCTAGTGAAAACTTTAAAACAAACACAGCTCTGTGCCTTTATCAAAAAGTACTGTCATGCTGAGTATAGACATTTTAAGCATAACCCATTATTGTACATGTTTATTGTAAAAAGCCAGTATAACTGTCAGTCTCAGCCTTTTCTCTTTTATTGTCACAAAGTTAATGACCATCATTGACACTATCAGTTTGTAAACATATAACATTTATTGTGAGGAGATGAGTTCAGGAAAAATTACCGCCCAGCCCTGATGTAGATGTTAAGCCTTGGTAGAAATATGCAGTCTCAGACTGTTCGTGTTTAAAAAGGGAACTGAACATTCAGATTTTAGAAGACTCATACAAAGTCATTGTCAGGCAATCTAACACAATGGTATGGTAATTTCACATGATTTTTAAAGGCTGTATTTAGAGCTGCGACTAAGTACAGTACACGTATATTACTTTAGTGTAAGAAAATGTCTAAAAAAATCTGGTGCCAAACTGAAAACGTAGCAAATTCTTGTAACCAAGATTTTTTTGAAATTACATGTAAAAAAAAAAAAAAAGAATTATTCAATCAGTTGCCAGTTTTTTTTGTTTTTAACTAAATGATGAATCAGATCAGTTCCTTTCCATTTATAGAGGACAGTATCAGTTAATTTTATTAGGAACTGTCCAGTTATATTATGAAAATATCATGGAAATCGTTTCTCTTAGTGATGAATGGAAATGTACATAAGTGATTTACATGCAGAGACAGTACTGAACTTGTTCTGGATTTAATTGGTCAGGAACATCAGTAACTGCAGAGCCCTTAAAAAAGGAAAAAAAAAGGAGTGAGTGTGGGTGTGAGTGGGGGGGTTAAAGAGATGACATAATAACAATTCCTTCATTTTCTTTTTATTAACACATTACATGTCCATTGAAAAGGACTAGGTAGCAAATATATTGTCTTTTGCATTCAAATGAACACAAAAGGATCATACCTGTACATTCACTAAGGCTCTGTCTTTAGGGAAAACACGGGTTTCCATAAGGCAAATAATATTTAAAGGAATGCTATTAAGTATTATCCAGCATGTCAATTTATTTCTTACTTCTTCCTGACAGTACAAGGATGCAAGCTGGTAGCACAATCTGCTCTGCCGTGCTGATTCATATTTTACAACCTTAATACACAGTAAAGGGAAAAGGCAAGCCCAAAAAATAAAAAGTACACAGTATCAGGATGTGTTATTTGAGTGTGTAAAGTACAGCATGTTGATGGATCAGTAGGTAAAGTCTGGAATGTCAATTAGTGAACTGATTCCTAACCCTATTATGACACTGGAACAGATGAGATGCCAAAGTGTTGTCAAATCACAAACCATCAATGAATCTGGCCCCTCATTTTAATGTCAGCTACACATCTGTAAAATCTTGCACTACTGTGACGTTGCCGCTTTGACAGCATTTGCCTACAGATTGATAAACGCCCGCCAAAACAGCCAAAGCCACGTTTGTGTTAGTTCCTGTGACGGTAGGTGTCTTCGAGATCACACAACACCGTAGCAGCCTCACTGTTGTTGCTTGCAAAACAAAACAAAACAAAACAAAACAAAAAAAACTAACAAGATGATTCAATACAGTTTAAACATGTATGCAAATCTCAATATGTAAATAAATATACATACAGCCAAATTTCTCTATCAGCTTGTATGCAAGCCTTCTCCCCCTCTCACCACAAACAGTGGTCACATCTGGAAGTTTCACATCACATTAAAGAGCAAACAAGAAAAATATTCAAATGTTTTAAAACCGATCCGTCGGTTCAATCTGCTAGAAGTTACAACGAGAGGCAGGCGTGCAGCTGCGGGAAGCAGCAGTTTTAATTTTAAGAGCTCAAACGCTTTGTTCAAAAAGCATGAACAAACGTTCCAATGATGTATCGTGCTACTGCCTGCTGACAAAAGCAGCAACCCTGATTTAGTCGGTTAATGCATAAAAATTACATAATAACAATTAAAAAAAAAAAAAAACTATGAATGACTGCATGAAATGCAATAAAGTCACATTCTGTGAGGCATGTGGATAGAATAAGATAACTTAAGATGGATAAAATGCATCTGTATATTTAATCTCCTCTCCAGTATATAAACTCGTGGGTATCAGAGCCGCTCATCTCCCTGCTTTGTAAACTCACTCTGTACACTTGTTAAACATTGACATCTAAACAGTCAAAGATGCATAGCCTTTCCCCTTCACACTGTCCTCACGTTTTGTTCAGACTTTTTCAAAATAAAACACTGATTACACCTCCTGTGCTCCAACAAACACTCGAGCAGGCAGCGTATTTACTCCAACAGCAGCATACACGGTGAAGAAGAGTCTTCACGCATCCCGGCCCGCTCTGCCGCGCAGGGAAGGCAAGGATCGACGTCTCATTTACCGACCTGACTTCAGTTTCAATCCAGGCAGACGTAGGGCAGTATGTTCAGCCTGCTCTCATCTCCGTGCGGGTCCAAGGAGATGCACTCGGTCCAGTCGTACCATTTATCCATTGTGTCATAGCAACCATTTACCCCGGACCAGTGCTGTGTGTGTAACCTGCTCAGGTCTTTGCCATTCACTTCTCTGCTGACTCCAGGGATCTCTCCAGGTGGCGAGTCTGAAACCAGCGTGTGTGTTTTCTTAGCATCTTTGCTCCGGTGCTCCTCCTTCTTCAGGAACTCTGACATGAAAAAGTGTGCACCGGGGGTGTGCGCGCCCGACGACGTCAGCACATTGCTTTGCTGGCTAAGGTACGACTGGATGATTTCGCTCCTCGACAGCTCTTTCCAGTCCGTCTGCTGGAAAGGACTGGGAGGAACTGGCGGATTTTGCTTCGGCTGTTCTGACCAGTTATTCTCAGGTTTGTGATTCGGTCTGTCCTCGCCCTCTGGGAAAGAATCCTTCTGGAAGGAGGTTTTGATCTGCCCCGTTACAGGATCGAACGTCAGCCTCCTGTCTTTTAACCTCACTGGTTTTGTTCTGTCTTCTACAGTCAGCCCTTCTAAATTAACAGAGCAATCCTTAGGTCTGTATTTCTGTCTTTTTCTTTTCCCTGTATTAAAAGAAGGACCCTCATCTTCCAGACTCTCCACGCCACTGCAGGGGGTGACAGTGGAGCCGTGGAGAGACATACTAGGAGGCAGGTGGTGAGAGTCCAAATCAGCAGACCCTGAACCGTCAGTGTGAAAACCCTGAACAGATGCGCTGAAAGGCTGAGGAGACAGTCCGAGCCCAGAGTTATCTACAGTCCCAGGTCTCACGCTGGGGGTAGGAATACTCTGTGCTTGGGGTGCAGTTTGTTTCACAACAGCTTCCTGTTTTAGAGTCTGAGGACTGTGCAAGGAACAGCGTGGGCTTCTGGGTCGACACTTTCCCCCAGAGGCAGCTTGCTCCTGTCTGGCTTGCTGCTGCAGAACTGATGCTTTTAGCAAAGAGGAAGTGCTAGGAGGCTTGCTGCATCCTGGGAAATTTGAGTGAGGTTTTACAGCATGAACAGGGATTTTATTTAGCTTGTCGTTGTCCAAAGCCTCAGGAATGTCCCTGTCCAAAGACTGATGTGCACGAATATCTGCAAAAATTTCTGTGCCGGTACCAATTCCATTGGTTTGCAGCTGCTTTGAGTTTTGTATTTTATCATTAAGAGTTGTTTTAGGTATCTTTGCTGGTAAAATCGGTCCTTCCTTCTGCTCGCCCTTGCGTTTTTTGTTGCTCGGTTTTTCCACTCTCAGGGAGCAGTTGTTGAAATCATTTCTGTTCTTCAACTCTGGGCCCGTTTTACCCGACGGTGGGTTGGTGGCTGGAGCAGAGATGCAAGGATGAGCACCGCCAATGGAAGACCACGACGCACTGGTGCCGCCTTTTGACAACACCTCAACCTTCCCTGGTTCGATTAGCTTCTGCCAGTTCCGCAGAAGCTTCTTGGCTCTCTTTGCGAGGTCCTCGTTTTTGGTTTTCTTCCGGACGTCGTTGATGAGCTTGCCCAGGCGGGTTTCCTTTAAGAGGAGATAAGATTGATGATTGTTTAACAGCGGATGAAACTTGACTGCTAAAAATCTGCATTTGATTGCTTTATTTGCTGATGGCACATGTTGTAACTTACCTCCAGTGCCTCTTTGGTGATAGGATATTTCTCCAAAAAGGAGATCACCTCCACGACGACCACCATGTTGCATATCTGCTGGAAAAGAAAGACCAATTATATACAAAAATACTGAGAGACAGGGGTGGGCGGTAAAAACGGTATATGGTAGAAACGATATAAATTTGGCCAACGGTAGAGATTTTGACTAAACCGCTCTACTGCGACAGCGCATGTTGATGGTGTCATCAAGCTGCGCCTGTTTTGGTCGAAAGCATTGCAACGGCTGCAAACAACATCATCTGCAAATTATGCCGGGCGACAGTAACAGCAAAGAGATGAAACACTTTTGAAACACTGTGCTAATGTTATGCTAATGTGGCTGTTTTGCTAGCGATCACATAGGACATCTTTATATACCAGCTAGTCCGACTTCAGTAACCCTGTAAAAGTCACTGCTGTTTAGTTTTCTGTCTTCATTTATGTTGGAAGTGATAGCAGAGCTGTATTTTTTAATTTTTTCAGAAATCTCTCAATCAGAACATGCTATATCATGTTTAGGTGGAAGCTAGCGAGCCAACTTCCTGCTCCGTTAAATTTAATAAATTCTGTTTTCATGGATGCCTGGATGGGGTTAGTAAGCACAACCAGAATTCATACATAAGGCACACTGTCGATTTTTGAGATAATTAAAGGATTTTAAGTGTGCCTTACAGTGTGTAAAATACGTTATACAGAAGAAAATAATATATCGTGATATATATCGTTACCGCACATGCTTCAAATTATACCGTGATATGGATTTTAGGCCATATCGCTCAGCCCTACTGAGAAATCACAAAAACAGCATTAAAGGAAGACATGTCTGTATCTAGATGTTGCCACTCCACCAAACACATTCCTCAGAAGGGGAAAAAAAGAACTTATCAAAAGGTCGAGAAATCATTTGAATAAACTTTCAAATGTGCACCTGTACGTTTAGAAAACATTTACTAGTTTCGGGCTCAGTTTGTCAAAACGAGAAAGCATGCAAATGTGCCGTTTTAGTCCACCAAAATAGTAGAAAGCCCACGTATTCAGATGATTGTTGTCTTTAATCTGCAGCCACTTCTGCAATGATCAACAATGTGGTTATTGGTTAACATGTGTTGCAGCGGAGGATTTCCTTTGCAAAGCCAAAGCCCAACTCTAGCTGTAGTGTGCCTGCGATCAAACTTATGACATTAAAAAACCCCTGATCGAAAAACGTTGAGTGAGGAGTCGTTGGCAAAAATGTAACACGTAGATGATTCTGGAATAAAATGCGTTACATCTATGTGGACCACAAGCCCTGACTTCTGATTGATGCAGTGAATCACGGTCAGGTCTGCTCTTGTGTTATTTACCGCGTGGTCGTCTCCCAGTGTTTTATATTTGGTGTCAGCCGATAGAAACTAATTTTCCGTCCTAGTGGAAAATTCTCTTTGTTGTGGTCAGTTTTATTTGGTGGCAAGCTTTTCTTTGTACATTCTCTCACATGCATCCAAGCAGTTTCAGCAGTCTGCCAACATTTGTGAATCTTTATACTGAACCTATGATTATTATTCTTCATACTATGGCGACGCATCTGAACAGGCCAATGGCAATAGTTGCGTCAGCCAACGTGTAGTTACATTACTTGCGAAGTGCACATCAGGTTACAGCATTGATATCCTGCTGAAGCATAAATCAGGTGTAAACTGTGTGTGGGATGCTGGGCATTTCAAGGCTTTCTGGCAGGATGTCACAGAGAGCACCCCCAGTGCATGACTGCAGGTAAGCATGTTGAAATAAGAAATTGTAAATAGGGATGTCAAACTTATTTTACATTGTGGGCCACACACAGCCCAGTTTGATCTAAAGCGGGCCAAACCAGTGAAACCTCTCTTTCTGTCAGTGTAAAGAAGTTTAGCTAAACATTTAATCCCATTTAATAAAGAAATGCTGCTGCTGCAGTAAATGAAAGGCACCTATCAGCATGTCTAAAATTACAGAAAAAGATCGTTCACCCTCCACCAGGCAACCACCTTAATTATTTTAGGTGTAGTATGAATGACAACAGGGGAGGTGCTTTATCAGTAGGACAAGCTGTAAAACTCATGAAAACACAGTTAACTCATTCACTGCCAATGGCTGGCAGTGAATGAGTTAAAAGCCCTCCTTCACATTTTCCAAAACCATCCAGTTTGGCCGGATTGGAATATTTGCTGACCGATTCTGGCCCCTGGGCCTTATTTTGACACCCCAGGCATGTGGATAATCAGGCGTGTGTTGGACACTCAGCAGTAACACACTGGGAGTACTTAAATGACACTGTAAACAACAACAGCTCTGAATCCATTTGTTTGTAATGGTCGCTGGTGCTGGGTAGCTCACTGAGAAGCCATGCATGTTTGTAGGTTGCTGACTAACTCGGCTTGGCTGTTTATACTGCTGTAACACACCTAAAGTAATCCCGGGGTCATCTTAGATAAAGGCGTTACAAACCTCGGAGCCCTGCTGGAGGTCTCCTCTCTGCAGAGCCTCTGTGTCTAAAGGGAACTTGCACTACATTCAGCACGTCCCCCTCTCTTGCCCTGATGAACTCTACTGTAAGTGCACACAATTGTCGCCAGCATCAACTTAACCGGGCTCTGGCATGCCTGCTTCATCACTCACTTTCGCTAACTAGACGTTAGCCAGCTAATTAGCAAGCAAATACTAAGTGTCCAGACGCTGAATGCCTCCACTCTGTCAGTTCCCCTATAGCGACTCGAGGCCACCAGCTCGACCACCATTGTCTGCTCTTCCCCACCCAGTTAATTCCGCTTAAAACCAGTGGACATACTCACATTGCTCTGGCCGTCGATGGCCTGTAGCAGCCGGTCTCTCATCACCTGCGGAGTGGCTGTAGCCGCTGTCATCGCCTGGCGGTGTCGCGGGTCGGGACGGAGACAGACAGCAGAATCCCCCGAAGAGCCGGCGATGGGAAACCCGCTGACACTCACAACTCCGACGGAAGCTCCCCCGAAGCAGCGGGCATCATGCTTTATGATGCTTCTGTCTTTGTTTCCAATCGCCACCCTCACCTGTTTGGTACCGCTAACTGCAGGAGACAGAACACCCTCTCCGGGAATCGGCTACCCCCTCGGCTGGTAGCCGCCTCCTTCTCGGCCTTCTCACCGAGCTTTTTGTGAGGCAGCAGAGCATTGTGGGAAATCTTTACGTAACCGGCTTCGACCCGCGTCAAATCCACGTGCTCGCAGCAAGCTGTAAATTTAACAAAAAAAAGAAAGACAATAAAACCGGAAAGGTGGTCCTAAGAAATCGATTAGAGCAGCTGTCGCTAAAACAAGGATATATACATATTCTGGAAATCTATCAAATGAGTGTAAAAGAAAAAACTGTATTATTTATTACAATCATAAGAAACTGAATTCATGTCAATCCAATGAGTTGTTCATCGCCACACGGGGCTTCTCTTAGAAGTCAGGAATTATAAAACATAACATTCAACCATTTTTTCTACGCAGGAATGCAAGTAAATATCTGTATTTTGTATCTTAATGTATCGTAAAACAATAATTATATTTTAGCATTAAATACATTCTGTTAGATTAATCATGACAGAAGCATAACAAATGGAAATGACAAATACTGTTAGAGCATCTGTGTAATAAACCGTATACTAGGCGGTGGTCTAATAAATTTAAAGATAGAAAGCGAGACTATGCTGTATATAAAAGGACTCCATAGTTAAAATTTTCTTACACAAAAATAACCTTTAATAATACCAAATTCATATTTTTGTCTCGTCTGAACGTCCTCCACATCTAACTAATAAATCAAGGTGCCTTCCAGTTCACTTGAAACTGAAGCTTGATGTTGGAGCCACCTTTGATGATATCTCTTCTGTCAGGGACGGTCATCAAAATCTCACCATACAAAACAAGTCTTATTCACTAAAAAATGATTATGGAAAATACGTATGGATATTTCAACTGAAAAATACACTAAATTTCAAAAATCTTGTGCATAAACTATTTATAAATGAGAAACAGTGTATGCCACATGATGTTGCCATATAGTTGATAACCAAAAAAAACCTCCTCACCAAATCTCTTCAGTTCTCTGCTAATAGACAGGCCGAGTTTGCAGTTGATTAAATCAGCATTGTTGAGAAAGGCAAAGAACAGAAAGAGTCATGAACACACCCTTAAAAAGATTTCTTAATTTTATAAACACATGATTGCTTCAGTTTTATTCAGATTAAGGTTGATACATGTTTGTTTTGTTAAACTAAATCTTTTCCCCAAAACAGCTTAATCTCTTTAAGCTGGGATAAGCTTTGTTATAGTTATATTTTAGTATTTAAAAATGCACAACTCTCTATGTTTTCCAAAACAGATACAGTCCTATTAAAACTAACTCCACCCTTACTGCTTCCACTGGAATTAAAAAGGCAATTAGCAGCAAACTGCTGATAATCAAACACACTTGATTATCTGATCATCAGCAAATGTGAGCACCTATGTAAAAGCAGACGACTCTGGAGCATTCAGGTGTGTTAACACAATGCCAAGGAGGAATGACATAAAACCCTGATTGTTGCTGGCTGTGTCAAGCCTGCTCAGAGGCGATAACAACCACTTGTCTTCTCACACGTCTGGTAAGTTACTTGTGGATTAGAAGAGAATCTCACCAACTGTTTGAGTCACTAGAAGTACACAGAGACGATGGATTCTTTGGGTAGTAATTTTCTATTTCACCTAAGATGAAGAGCTGCTGCATGAGGAGAGTTTGCTGGTTGTTGGTCACCATAACATCTCCAGAAACTGGATTTCTAGCCTGGATAAATATCTCTTCAGACATGCTGCAGCATGACACTGAGACATGTTATGGTTTAAGATGTTTTGAGTTTTGTGACATGGTTGTTATCCTGCTGGATGGGCACGGTCAGCAACAATACTCAGGTAGGCTGTGGCATTTTAATGATGTTCAGCAGGTACTACGGGGTCCAAAGTGGCAAAAAATGTCCCCCCACACCATCAAACCACATCTAATCTGAACTATTCATACAAGGCAGAATGGGTCTGTGCTTTCATGTTGTGAGCCCACAGCTTGGATGTTGCAGCAGAACTTAAAACTCATCAGACCAGGCAACACTTTTATAATTTTCTATTGTTTAAATTTGATTTGGTGAGCTGCTGTGAACTGTAGCCTCAGTTTCCTATTACTGGCTGACAGGAGTGTGGTCTTGTGTTCCTGTAGCCCATCTGCTTCAAGGTTTGATGTGTGTTCAGGGATGCTCTTCTGTATATCTTGGTTGTAACGACAGATTTTTTGCGCTGCATTGATTGCATTATGTTTCTGCAATGTGACTGGCTGCTTTAACAAGCCTCTTAGTTGTGTCTAATGAAGCTGCCAGTGAATGAATATTATGCTGCTCTGTTTTGTAGCTGAAACCCGGATGCCTGGAAGCATCGAGTCCACAGGCCCACTCCAGATGTCGTGCAGAATCGCACATTAACATGTTAGCAGCAGGTTTCAAGGGGCCTCCATGAGTCTGACTTGTATTTCCCATACCCCTTACAGATGCTCAAACTGAGATATGGGCGGGGTTGAAGGCCAGGACAAGACCTTGAACTCTTTATCTGTGTTAAACTACTCATGAACAAATTCTGCAGTGCGACAGGGCACATGATCCTGCTGAGAGAGGCCGCTGCAATCAGGGAATACTGTTGACTGGATGCAGGTGGTCTGGAACAATGTTTAGGCAGGTGCAGCATGTTAAAGTAACCCACATGTACACCAAGACCCGAGGCTTCCCAGAATATAGCCCAGAAAATCACATTGCCTTTTTTGACTTGCCTTCTTTCAAAAGACAGAACATATTTGATAATAAAACTTTATTTTTTATTAAGAATAAGGTCACATTTACAGTGAATATATATTTAATTACAGCACATGTGCTGCTGAATAAAGAAAATAGCACAATTTCCCCCCCTAAGAAGTTGAAAACAAACACATAAGTGAGTAAAATAATCCTATTTATAACTCACAAATCAGATTCAGATTTTTCTGTGGAATCTGGATGAACTGAGCCTGTGCAGGAAAAAGGAATAAAATGATGTTTCTGGTGTTTCTTTACCACTAACTACAAAACCACAAGTTTCCAGCAAAGGTGTTACAGTTAAAGAAAGATCAATAAAAATGTAACAAGAGAAGAATAAATATAGCCATTCATAAATTCCTGTACAGCACAAAGGGTTGTAAACCAAAAGGAGTATAATTACTAGTAAAAGGGTCAAAGAAAGAGAAAAAGGACATTAAGGAGAAGCTGACAGCATCCATCTGGAAAGGGAAGCATCTTGGAGGAAGTCCACTGGCCACACACGATCATGATCCAAACAATCTGTGCAGATTGAAGACATTTGGCTAGTTAGAACAGCAGCACACTTCTGCTAATTTCAGGAGAAGCAGCGCACATCTAAAGGGCATAAAAACGTTTGATTTACACACACACACAAAAAAGACAGGACAGCACAATCATCAAGCACTTTATAGGTTTAACCTCAGTAATGCTGAGTTGGGACTTCATTCACTCTCAGATGGACTCATGGATTATACAAGTTGTAACAAAAGGACTCCTGGTCCATGTCTACATGATTGCATCACATATTCTGTGTTGATTTATCAGCTGTGCAATCATGGTGTTATCCTCCTGATTGACCACATCCTAAAGGTGCACCACTGGATTTAGATCTGGGGATTGGGGAACCCATCATCAGGTTTATGAAAGCATTTTGAGGCAATTTGTTTGGTATGTTGGCACATAAGAAAACCGTGGTAATAACAAAGTTAGACGTGGTCATCAGAGATCCCCAGAAACACTGACTGATATAAACAAGTGTCTGAAGTGTTCTCAGATTGGGTCCACGGCTTCATCCTTTAAACGCCAAATTCAAGTTTCTTCACACCAAGCTTTGGTTGTTCAGTGTTTGTCCAGACTGCAGACTCAGACTAATAATGTGAATTGTAAGAAGTTTCTTCTGCTCCCAGTTGTAAAGAATTGGCTTCTGGATTACTTTACCCCCCTTCAAAGCAGTAAGACTTCATTGGCAGCAACAGTCACATTTTTTTCTTGTTATAATGTTTAACTTGAAAAACATGTGAAGGTGCTGACTCATGTCTGCAGCTTACTGCTACCCCACAACCGTATTTTACCTTTAAAAGCAAACATGGCGTAATCCTTAAATATCCTCCCCAAATATAATGCATTTATATGTGTCAGTGAAAACTAATACAGTATCCCAGAAAGTTGAATTTGTTCACATGGACTTGCATTTTCAGAAGGAGAAACGTTCTCAGTAATTCAGGTCACAGTAGTCTTAACTGGTTGAAAAACAAGGCAACCAGACTTTAAGTTTGTGAAGATGTTACACCTCTCATCCAAGAGGGTTCTTCATTTCTAAAAACAAAAGGTTAAGACCTAATTATATAATCTATGCATGGCACACCATAGAAGAGTCAACTCAACAGGACAGGACTCAGCTGTAAATCTATACCGAAAGAACAAAGGTCACTCTATCCTCTGATTGGCATCGAGGATGCCAATGTTCACACTTTGGACAAAGAAGACAACTGGTACACATCCTGGACAGGGAGGAACGTTAGTTTGAGCACATTCCCTATTCACCCATTTACGTGAATAGGGAAAGACCATCTCTGAATTGAGGAGGTGGCCTATCTTTCGCCATCTTACAATGCACACACTGGTGATGGAAAGCTACATTGTAGCCACAGCCACCCTGGGGCGCACTGACAGAGGCGAGGCTGCCGGACACTGGCGCCACCGGGCACTCTGACCACCACCAGTAGTCAACGGGTGAAGTGTCTTGCCCAAGGACACAACGGCAATGCTAACTAATGGCAATGCCAAGGACACAACGACCGAGACTGTCCAAGCTGGGGCTCGAACCAGCAACCTTCTGATTAAAAGGCGAACTCCCAACTCTTGAGCCACGATCGCCCCCACGATCGTGATGAAGAAACAGACCTTCCAGTCCATTGTTCCTTCTGTGGGCTGGCTTCAGTCATTATGCAAATGTACTGTTTATATGATTGGGGAAACCTGCAGTCAGCTGAGAAGTCACTTGGATGAGTAACAAAACGTTTCTCCCACTGAAAACGCTACGTCCAGATGAACAGAAACAACTTTTGGAGAGGCCATGCATGTCCACTGTGAACGACCATCACTTAACAGAGGTGGTGACAATGACAGCAGCTATCAGCCACCTACAATTCAGTTTTGATTATCCTTCCCAGGTGCATCTCCGCCCGTTCACACCTCGTCTCAGTTGACCTCAATAGCTTCCATGGTAGGGCAGGGCAGGGTGTCACAGTGGTTCCACTCAGCCTTTTTTTTTTCCTCAAACCTTGTGATGTGATGACGCACATGATCAATAGTGTCAACGGCCACCTCCTAAGGGACAATCTAGGGGTTTAAATATCTGCGACTCCTCCACCTTTTGTTTTTAGAACTGAAGTGCCCTCTTGACTGAGAGGGGAAAAGTCTTGACGAACTTCAGCTGCCTTCTTTTGTTAAGCTTTTAGGAGTAGCACCATTGCCTAACAATAGCTCACGAGGTCAGTTTCATGATCATTGCATGATCATATGCAAATTGTCATGACCGTTGATTAATGGCCAGAGAGTTGGGAAGTAGCTGCAACACACTATTAGAGCTACAGCACTGGTAAAATGCTGTAGCTGTAACAGTAACAGCTCCAGAGTGGTGAAAGATGTACCCCTGGGCCTCCTCCTGGATTCAGAGATGGTCTCTACCTTTCCATGTAAAGGTTTTTGCTTAGGTAGTGACTGTCCTTCTCCCCTGAATTGCCTGCAGCTATTTTTAGGCGCCTTCCCAGCTTTGACAAATGTCCAGCTGGGACAACCACATTCCCTCAGGGCCATTTTTCATACGATGACCTTCAGCTTCCCAAGCCGGTCTGTGTGGTGATGGTGTTCGCTCTGTGTTGTAGTGTCCTGATGACACCCAGTTTGTGTTTTAATGGAGAACGAGAGTCAAGAATGAAATACTGATCCGTGTGCATTGATTTAAAGTACACGTCGACTTTTAAATGTCCCCAATTACTAATGGCAATTTGACAGTCTAAGAAAGCTAGCCTGCCATTTTTCATTTCCTCCCTGGTGAACTTGATAATGTGAGAAATGCTTTGTGGTACATCGTGAAATTTGATTTTTCACCCACGTATAATCCACATACCTGAAACAATTGCTCAACAGTGTTCCAGGATACAATAACAGAGCCCTTTATTTCTCCACTTTGTTCTTTTGGCTACAAATTAGCCAAAGTCGGTGAAACTGGGGATTTCACTGCAGACCCGTGTTTCTGCTTCTATGTGAAATATGTGGAATGAGAACAGAGTTCCAAGAGCAGACACTTTGGCTTGGTGCTTAGAGTTCTTCCTGTTACTGAGAAAATGTACTGTTTACAAAGTTCAGAAAGAGTGAAAAAAATTACTTTGAGCAACTAAACTATTTGTCCCACTAAAAAAAAAGCAACGTCCAGATGAACGAAATGAACTTTCTGGGATTTTTTTTTGATGTGTGAAATGTCAAAAAACCTCAATTAACAAAAAAAAAAAAAAAAAAAAAAAAAAAAAATCTAATCCCACAAGAAGACCAAACTCAAAACTTTGGACTTTTTTGTCGTGGCAACCATTACTGTCACTGGTCTAGGTTTCTGGCAACAATTGGAATCTGTGTCACAAAGAAAGCTTATGTGGCTCAACATCAGTCTTCAGCACGTTCTCATATTTGGAGCACAACATATGAAACAAATATCTATGCATCTTCCTATGCTTATCCAAGTCGGTGCCCAATTCAGCAGCTGGAGCCTATCCCAGCTGTCATAAGGTTGGCAGGGTACAGGGAAAGGTTGCTAATCTATTGCAAGGCTAACACTGAGAGACAGACATTCACACTGGTGTTCACCTTTTAGGCCGATTTAGAGTCACCAATTCACCAAACCCATGCATGTCTTTGTGCAGCTATGGTGGTGGTTGTCTATCAACAACTAAGTTGTAGTGCCTCTTCACCTCACTGTACAATACCTTATGCAATACTTTTTTGTAAATAGTCAACAGTGCAATAGACTCAATACTTGAAATGTGCAATTCACTTGTATTTTTTATTCCTATTTATTCTATTTATCCCCTTTGTATATTTTATTTATATTTGTCTCTGTATTTATATATATGTGTGTGTGTGTGTGTGTATATATATATATATAACAATTCTGTAACTGTAACTTCGGTCGTTGCTGTGCTTTTTGGAAGTCGAATTTCCCAGAGGAACCCACCCGAGGGATTAATAAAGTTCTATCTTATCTTATCTTATCTTATCTTATCACATGAGTAAGATACTGAATCGCGAGCTGCTAACGATGTGAGAGTGTCAGAATTTTAGAAAGCCTTTAGTCGTAGATAAAAGTATAAGTATAAAAAAGTATAACTGAAGTACACAGTGAGAACCCATGCAAGCATGGAGAGAACGTGCAAACTCTACGTTCTCCACGATTTGAACCATCATGCTCCCTATGAAACAAACACTGGGATAAAAATAGCTAAAGCCCACAGCACAAGTAATTGAGTGCCTCTCAGTAAACTGCATCTGGTCCATCAGCATCGACTGACACAGTCTTACTCACAGGATCATGCAGAACATGATGAAGATGTTCCACAATGCGATGAAGATCCGGAAGTACCGCAGGCTGAGCAGAAACTCTCTGATGTTGTCCCCTGAGAGATAGACTGTGAATGTTTGTGGCAATACTACTCACACTCTCTCTCTCTCTCTCTCTCTCACACACACACTCTCTCTCTCTCTCACACACACACACACACACACACACACACACACACACACACACACACACACACACACACACACCTGTTGTTGGTGATCCAGAGTCATCTCCAAATCCCTGCGACTCCTTCCTTTTGCTGAAAAAAAGACACCCACAGTTAACCTTCAACATTCTGCTAACACACAAACCTAAACTAATGACTGAGTACAATACTCACAGCTTGAAGTTCAGCACAGCCCCTGCGTTCACCAGTAAAGTCCTGCAGAGCACAAACACGGAGAGTTTGGTAGCGTATTAGCTGCTGCGCTGGCATTAGCACCAAGCTAGTTAGCTTGTCATTTTACGCCACACACGGCTGACTGACTAACACAAAATTACACAGCGACACATAAAGACACATAGAGAACTTATTATCTCAATACAAGATGTGATTCCGTGTGACATCTGCCACACGACTCGATAAATTACCCGAATATCAACAGATCCCCGATCATCTTGATCAAATCACATCAGAAGCGCCTCACTTCCGCGTTCGGCACGTAATCAGAAATGTGACCAATACAAATCCGGTATCCAGAGAAATACGAAGTGTTGTTATTCCCCGGGTTTAGACTGTAAGGTGCAACCTTACCAAACACTGATCGTCTGCCAAAATTGATTTTCAATGTTTTAGTGTATTTTTATGTGTAATGTCTTATGTGTAAATAGACTTTGGTGAACAGGATTTATAAAGAGGTTATAAAGAGATTTATAAGCACTCAAGCACTTTAAAAACGACCACGCACAGTTAGCCAATTAAAATATGTTTATAGAACTGTTGTTGTATTTGTTGAAAATTTTCTGCTGCCCTCTACCTCAGATCTCTCTTTAAAAAGACATTTTTGACGTAATTGTGACCTTTTATCTGGGCAAGTAAGAGATATATAAAAGCCACTTTGCCAAAAACTGATTGCAGCTTCTATTGTGACAGGTATGTGTGTTATTGTTTTTTCTGTTCCTTCCTAGTGGGATAAATAATTTCTTTGGTAGCTCTCGAACTTCGTAGGTTCTTTTGGGTGTTTTTGTTTTGGTGAAAGGAGCTTTTTTTCGTATGTCTTTGGCTCCCCTTTTTGGAGAGAGTAAGCACTACATCCATTATCGTGTGAATTTAAAGCAAATACAGAGAATAGTAAATTAAAAACCATTAAAAAAATACATACTTGAAATCTTGATTTACTTATTAGTGTTATTACGTTTACCTCGACATCTCTGCACTCCCGATGAGTGTGAACAATGTTGGGATTAATTAAAGCATCATCTGGCCGTGAGTCAGAACGGCTCCAGGATCAGATCAGGATTGTGGGTGTTTTCATGAACGAGTGAATAAATATTTGTTGATATGAAGCCTTGACGCTTTATTTTTATATATTTATTTTCCCTCCTGCTGTGTCTCAGAGCTGCAGTAAACCCCCAGCAGCGTCTTATGGCTCGGCTGAGCGACGATCTCGATGAAGACAGCAGAGCGAGCCTTTTGTTTTTCAGCTGAAGCGCCTGAAAGGTCGCCTGAAAAAGCGGAGCAGCTGGCACTGAGCGCAGATGATGATGACGATATGCAGAGGCCGTGGAGATGAGTGGTATTAATAGGAGGGCTTGAGTGTCACAGGCTTTCACAGTCGAGACCAGGTGGGCTTTCTGTGGCGGACAGTCGGCGGAGCGGGTTTTGGGGGGTCTTCCAGACTGCGCAGTCGGAATAAAACAGAAACGCAGCTCAGACTGGCAACATGGACGTGCTGGCAGTTCTTAATTTGGGCGATATTGCCCAAGCTTTCTCCAAAATGGGAATGTTTCCTGTGTTTGATCTGGCTTACTACATCGTGTCCATCCTCTACCTCAAATATGAGCCAGGTGAGTGTGCTTGACACTTTTCTGCTTATTATTCATGTCATAAGTATGTTAGAATATAAGTCTGCGTGCTGTTTGTGCAACAGTCCACAGGCTGTTAAGTAAAATATATCCAGAATAGTACGTTTTATACACCTGTGACTGGAATTTAACCAGGAAGTAACGAATGAGGCGAGAAAGTCTATGACTTGCATGATGTGTAATTTCATTGTGAACAGAAGGCTTTATTTGTATTACATTTAGCTCACACTTTGCCTAAATACCCTTACAAGGACTTTCTCTTGCAGTTATCCGTATAGTCCTTATAAAGAATGACCTGTTACATAAACTCCAGCAGCAGCTCTGCAGCTCTGCTTTGCTTTATGTGAGGGAATGTGTGTTGCTGCAGCAGCCTGACCTCCTTTAGGAAATCACTGGAGTAGATTAAACCCCCCAGCTTTGGTTAAAGCCCATTTTTTCCATTAAGATTTAACTACTTTGAGTAACAGAGCCCGAGGAGGATGAAACCTGAGGCCTGTGCATACCAGTGACTTAAGCAATAAATAGAAGGGCCTGAAATAGACGGTCAGTAGGACCTCCAGAGCCAACTCCCCCGCCACCTTTGCTGCACACTTGTCCCTGGGAATGTGTGTGTGTATTCTTTGAAATAACACATTCGCCTCTCCACAGAGTAAAACACGCACTGTGATATTGATATGATGGTTTGGTCTTGTTGGCAGGTTTCATCCTTGATGAAAGGAGCACAAAATGCATCTCACCCTCATAACAAGTTTAAAAAGAAGCCCGCCATGCCCATCAAGCCCATTTAAAACTGTTTGCACAGCATGATCAGAACAAACGCATCATCTCTCACATTTTCCTCAGCTGGAGGAGTCACTCGTCACATAAGCACAGCTGTAGGCCACTTGGAAGCCTGTTTTAGACTAACAACTTGGATAAAGTTAATCGATATAAATGTTTTTATCAAGTTTAGTGAAGTCAGCATGTTGTTAAAAGTCTGTTGTTGGGGGACCAAAGTTTTATATGTATGCTGTATAAGGTAGATCAGGGAATCTCCCAGCTGGCTCAGGGTCAAGATGTACTGGCCAAAAGACTGCAATGTGTGGAGTAAACGAACATACTGCAAAAACGTAAAAGGCAGCCAAAGCAGAGGGACTGCAGTTTGTGTGTATTTTAAAGTTAGAAAGTACCAGCCAGCACGAATCAGGCCGACTTCAACTGTAAAGCTTGCCTTATTTTCATGCATGCAATTTCACAGTCAAATGAGTCCTGCTGTGGCTCCCACAATGTCACATTTATCCTGCACACGTCTGTGCCTAAAATTGCACCAGAACTTTGAGCTTTTTTCTTTTTTCGGTTTATGTGACAGGAGAAAGGAGAGAGAAGTGTAGGGTCAAAGGTCATGAGTGGCCTGTCAAAGTTGCATACAGGAGAGGCCAGTGAGCAGGATGTATTTATAGGGCAGTATTTCTCAGGATCAGGTTGCCTTCAAATTGAGGAACGGTTGAACCGCTACACCCCCACCCACCTGTTGGTGGAGATTTGCACTCTCATCTCGACTTACTGTAACAATGCTGTAACGCCGTCGAGGCTCTTTCCCGCACGAAATGTGCGTACAGTCTCAAAACTGACATGTAACCTTTTGTGTGGTCACACGTTTGCAATTTTTCCACTTTTGTATTTCTTACTTATAGCTGCATCTGTTTTCTTGTTGCACCTCCTGCATGCATGCCATGTCTAACTTCCTTTTCTTCTTTGAAATCATTTGGGCACCTAGTTTTGCTTTTGTCCCGTTGCTTCACCAGCTTCATCAGCTGTAGCACAACATGAAGCAGAAACATTTTTAGCTGCAGCGTCCTGAACACTGGACACTGATTTAGAAAATGTGGAAAACTTATGACGGTGTCAGTTCGCAGAGTTTTAAAGTTTAATTGGCGCCTGCCTTGCTGTTACTCACATGGATACAACATGTGAGTCCACAACATGACTGTTTGTCATGCAGGCTTTCTTTGTAGCATCTTTTAAGATATATGCATCCAGTATATTACAAAGAGCCGCTCTAGTCTGCATCCTTAAGCAAAGCAGCCATATGTCAACTCAAAAGTGACTGTAGTTATCCTGAGTCAACACTGACTGATGATAAAGATGTGTACTATCAGGGCGTGACCTGGAATGATAAACTGGGTGTGCACAAAGATACAGCACACACGGGATCCACTGATATTAGCATTTGCAGGCTGCTGGTAACAGTTAGGTCTGCAGGAGCTGGCAGAAATGATCAAAGATTAATATAGTTAATAAGTTAACATTCTGCCCAAAGTGCTGACTTTAATTAATTTAATTATATGCACATTTTACACAAGGAATCAGGAATCTGCTCACATGACATTTATTTGACTGGTATGCATTCGGTTTATACTAAGCACATTTTCCTCTGTTTGAATAAATAAACCTTTGATTTTATACCTTTCAGTGGTGTTTTACTCAAAGTTATGGTTTCATATTGACTGAGTGTTTTAGAGGAGCAGGGGGTGGTCCAACACAGCCTCCACGTTTTTCTCACTTGACAATTATAACAAGTATTATTGTCAAGGACTTTTTGCAAAGCATTTAATAGATCAATCAACTGATCAATCAACATCATTTTATTACATTTACAAACAGATAAAAAAGGATAAATAATGACTGTATTTTTTTTTACCACCACCAGGAGTCGCCAAAGTTCAATAATTTTCCTCTTTTTCTAAAGAAAACTATTGACTTCCAATCAAATATATAAACTGTTTGTAGATAAATCACCTGACTGATCCTATAGTTACTTTAGTTGGTGAGTTGCTTAAGTTTGGAGGATTTTGTTAAGTTTTTCTGTTTGTATAATCTTGGAGAAAACAGAAGAATGCGCAGCATCTGACTCTTTAATAAAAGCACAGAACACATCATCATCATCATCATCATCAGCTTCATGCGCACACTGAGAGCACTCATTGACCAGCTGCTGTGATGTTTGGATCTTCACACCCTTCTGACAGCTCGTCCTCTGTGTTGCAGGCTCGGTGGAAGTTTCTCGCAGGAGTCCTGTGGCCTCCTGGCTCTGCGCCATGCTCTACTGCTTTGGTAGTTACATCCTGGCAGACATCATGCTTGGAAGCAGCCCCGTCGACTATTTCCAGCACAACAGCCACATCCTGCTGGCCTCAGCTGTCTGGTGAGAAAACCCCCAGAACCAGTTTGCTCATCACTCGTGTTTTTATTTAACTTTCAAGATGACATTTATGATACAAAGATCTGTCTCTTCCATTAGACATCAAGGATAATGAGTTGCAGCGTGGTCAGGAAGCCAAACGCACACAATGGATTTATCCATTTATTTTATTCACAGGGAGGAGATTTATATGTAACAGGAATAAAAAAGTAATGTTTTATGTTTGTTGAGGAATAAACTCACAAAGGTTGTCAATCTCAATTGCAGGTACCTCCTCTTTTACTGCCCGCTGAACCTCTTCTACAAATGTGTGAGTTTCTTGCCCATCAAGCTGGTGTTGGTTGCCCTGAAGGAAGTTGTGCGCACTCGTAAGATCGCCGCAGGGGTTCACCACGCCCACCACGCCTACCACCACGGCTTCTTCATCATGGTGATCGTTGGATATGTCAAAGGT